TAAAATTCTAAACGGGATGATTCCGTAACGGGACCGAAGTCCATCACCAAATAAAATAATCATTAATAATTCCCCTGCTAATGCCAAATTTCCTGATAAAGCTTGACTTGTAACAAACGGCTCAGAATATTGTGTATTTGTCAAGTAATTACTTATAGTTCCTTTGACTTCTTTCATGTATTTTGAAAAGTCAACTTGTTCATGGTACTCAAAAATATTTGTTGTCTTGCTGATTACAATCAGGCAACAGGTTATTTCAAAACATTTTAGCATGAAACTTGTAAAAGCCAACGAATTATAACAAAGTAGTAATAAAAGCAAACGAAGAATTTTTTAGTATTGAAAGATGATGAGTAGGGCCATTTGGCAAGAACTTCATGAAGAGATGTTATTGAAGACAATTTTAACTCGTTCGTCGTTTTTTCTTTTTTCCAGCTTCAAGGCACTCGAGGATGGTGAGTGCCTTGGAGAGGACCCCACTCCTTGATGGTTACGTCCCGTATCCATGGGACCGGAGGATGCACGAGATGCTGCCGGTCCCCAGTTCAAGCAGCTTCTACTCCGTTTTGTTCCTGCCGAAAGCCTCCAATGGAGTTGGTACACTTTATAATGACCTGGAAGACACGCTAGCCCGGGCCCACACGTGGATCAATGCTTCCCAGGCGTCCGGTGTTCCCACTGTCTTGATCAACATTCAAACCGAATCCCTCCTCACCAAGGTAATCAACAGAGCTTCGTACAACCCTTTGAATCTTGATTTATAAAGTGATCTTCCTGAATTCCTAATACGTATTTGATATATTTTGGGGGTTGGTTAAAAAATTTAGGTGTCTGGGGAAACTGCTTCTTCGACTGTAAATTCTGGATCATTATCGGATTTGTCGAACCTTGCGAACACAAGCCTCTACGGTTTCGAGGACTACCATGGGGTCGACATCGGTGTCGTGAGAGGGGTTCGTTTGTGGTTCTCCCCTCTCGCAGGGGAGATCCCTCTCGAGATCAGAATCGGAGAAGAAGACACGAAACTCGGCTTTGCCATCAGCCGAACAGAAGAGGTAACCTCTTCCTTTAATTAATATATCAAGACCAACGGCAGAAAAAAGAAATGAAAATTAAATATGAAATGAACCTCAAGGGCAATTCTGATTTTGTTGACATCATACGATATATACCAGGGATTCATTTACATATCATCCGTGATGCAATCATCGGACGACAACCATGAAACTCCGTCATCTCGTTCGGGGCTGAGCCAGCTGTACAGGCAGGCGTGGGCTGCCTCCCGTCTCCTGGTTGTTTCGCGAGTGTCAAGCCAAAAGGTGGTCCCATGGATGGTGTCCTCAGCAGGTGCCGTCAGGTGCTTCGACACGGTGTCCCTCAGCCGGAAGCTCTCACTCCACCGCCACACTAGGATTCCAATTCTCCTGCACGTTCTCATTTGGGATAAAAGCGTAAATTACGCGAATGCAGGCAGCATCCGGGCCCGGGCCATGTCGACTGAAGTCCATCTAGCGAGCCCGGCCGTTAACGAGATTGGTCGGGTGATGGAGGGTTTTGATCGTGTGGATGAGGATGAGAGGAGAACAGGAGATGATCATCAGCTGGAAAGAGATATGGCCGGTGAGTTATCTTTCCGGTTTCGTGATTTCGGCATCACTGATAATTGGGTGTGACAATTTTTGCCCCGATTTGTTAGGCTGGTCGTGTTTTTGGGTATTTTGGCGGCTTTGTGCTTATTTGATGTGTACGGGGGGCTTTCCATGTTAATTATGATGTCAGTGTAAAGAGTAAGTAAAATTTGGGAGTCACCACAATATAGCTTCTTATCAACTTATTTAAAGAGTTAATACAGGTTTTTTTGGATACATATTCATTTTCCCCGAATATTGAAGAGTAAACAAACACATACATTTTCCATATGTATCTCATTTCTCTCCAAATTCCAAACTAACTTCCATCCTCCGTTAACTTCTCACTCACTCGTCCGCAATGTCCTGCCGTATGTGGCGGACCAGCGCCGGGATGGTGATCTCCGGTGCGCTGAGGTGTGGCAGGTGGCCTTCGGTGGGCAGCACCTCCACAACCGTCTTCCCACCCAGCCTCCGGCGGAGGTATTCCCCCATCACTACAGGCACCATCGTGTCCTTGGAGCTCTGTATGATGTGGCACGGGACGGTGACTTGGCTGAGGTAAGGTCTTAGGTCGAAACTATTCAACATACGGCACACGCTGAGCCCTATGTCTGGCCGCACGTTGAACAGTGTCCGGCTGAACTCCTGAATTGCACTCGATTCCAGGTCCCCACCAACGATCAGCGGTGCATACCCCGATGCCATCGCCTTGTAGTTGTGCTCCACGGCTGCGCTCAACTCATCCAGCTCATGCTGCTCAAAACCACCATAGTAGTCTTTCGTGTTCGACAGCCTAATCAACAATCAAAGCAATAATTAATAACAAAATAGCGAAAAGAAAAAAAGGATGATATATTGACGAATATTAAAAACTAGAAAGAGTACATACCTTGGGGTCGAGGAAATCATGACAATCTTACGAAACAAGTCCGGCCGGAAAATGGATGCGACAACGGCAGCCATGGCGGACATGGAGTGGCCGACGTAAATGCAGCTGCTGACTTGGAACTCGTCTAAGATGGCGATGAGGTCGTAAGTATAGCCTTCCAAGGTGGCGTAGCGTTCGAAATCGAAGTAATCGGGATTGGTGGTCCCGGCGCCCATGTTGTCGTAGAGTAGGACCTTGTACTCGTCCACCAGGTACGGGACCAGGTGCCTCCAAACCGACTGGTCTGTGCCGAACCCATGACCGAGGACCACCGTGGTCTCTCCCGACCCTAAAACGGTCACGTTGTGGGCTGCTCCAACCGTGCTCATTGTTTATCAGATTCTTGTCAAGACTCACACTCTCTTGCAGGTGTACTGTTAGTATATTTATATATATTTATTAGCACGTGAGATTCTATCTTTAATGAATATTCAATTCATCAACATAAATTTTCTTCACATTGATTCATGTTAGATCGTGGTGGCGTTTGAATTCACCTGCTTAGAAAAAATTGAAAATGTGAGTTTCTATGATTTCTTATCTCTTTAAAAACCAAAAAAGAAAGGAAGATAATGTTGTTAATCTTGTGATCCGATTTTGTAGGCAACTCGTTGGATAATGAACGCGTTTCCGATTATTTTTTTTTTTGGTTTTGGTTTAATGCTTTAGACTGTCGGGGGAAGTCCGCCCGAAATTAGTACTCTATTTTTTTGTAAATAAAAAAAAAAAATGTACAGTTATATGCTGAATATTTTCACACCTGTTATAAAATGCAGAAAATATAAAGAACACAATGTATAAAAACCGGATATAAATTGTATCAGACTATCTTTTCTTTATTTCTTCATTTTTCCTTCACTTTCGTTTCTATTTCCCGTATGTATAATTACACTACACATCTTGCCCCTTTTATAGAAAAAAAAATGGGCACACATTTCAATGCACACACTAGTATAATAATTACAATGATAACTTTATTAATAGTGGTAAAATTCCACTTGTTTATAACACTCCCCCTTGGATTTACCACTATTAAATGTGCGTTTATGCTGCCTCGTTAAAAACCTTATCTGGAAAAACCATGTGGGAAAAAAAACGAGATAAGGAAAAAAGAGTACAGCCGCACATACTCCCCCTCGAATTATCATCCGTGCAAATCCCGAAGATGCATCATCCCAATATTGTGCACGTGCTTTCGAAATATTGTCGTCGGAAGCGCCTTAGTAAACAAATATGCTGCATTATCGCTTGATTGAATGTATTGAACTTTGATTTGTTTGTTTCTTTTAAGCTCTTGCGCATATAAGAATAACTTTTGCGGGATATGTTTAGTTATGTCACTCTTAATGTATCCTTCTTTTGTTTGAGCGACACATGCTGCATTGTCTTCGTATATCACCGTCGGGTCATTATTGTTCGATAGTCCACTGGCTTGTTGAATATGTTGAGTCATGTTTCTGAGCCAGATACTTTCCCTACTTGCTTCATGAAGTGCAATGATCTCAGCATGGTTTGAAGACGTCGCAACTAACGTTTATTTCTGAGAGCGCCAAGAGAATGCAGTTCCGCCAATCGTAAAAACGTATCCAGTTTGAGATCTTGCTTTATGGGGATCTGAGAGATATCCTGCATCTACAAAACCGATTATTTCATGTTTTTTATCGTTAGAGTAAAACAGTCCCAAATCGATTGTCCCTTGGAGATAACGGAATATATGCTTGATTCCATTCCAATGTCTCCTCGTAG